TTTAAGGATAAACAAACCAGAATCTCAAGAACTTTTGTTTATCCTTAAAGACTACATCGTTGTTAGTTACCATATGATACTTTGTGAGTTTTTGAGATTCAGGTTTGTTTATCCTTAAAGACTACATCGTTATTAGTTACTGGGTAATACTTTGTGAGTTTTTGAGATTCTGGTTTGTTTATCCTTAAAGACTACATCGTTGTTAGTTACCATGTGATACTTTGTGGACTACATCGTTGTTAGTTACCATGTGATACTTTGTGAGTTCTTGAGATTCTGGTCCACCACGGGTATCGAAACCCGGATTTTTGCGTTGTAAGTCCGCAGACATACCGCTGTACCACTGGGGGGCGTCATAAACGTTCACCAGTGGTTTATGTAAATAACACTGACAAGTAATACCTCCTGACCTACTGAAATAACTCCTAAAGACGACATAGAGGTCCTTCGTAACGTGAAATATGAAGAGCGTTTTTTAAGTGAAAGCGTTGATAGCGTAATAAACTTTTAATTGTGTAAACATGGAACTTTGATTTTAAACATTACACAAGTACCGATCGTTCATAATGTTAAAAAAACACGTAGGTTCAAGAAGTCTTGATAGAAATGAATAAACACACTATAACCCGAGCGCTTTCGAAAGGTGAACCTTTCTTTTTCTTCAGGGACAAACTGTTTGCCCCTGAAGAAACAGTTTGCCCATGAAGAAGAAAGGTTCATCTTTCGAAAGCACTCTGGTTATAGGGTTTTTATTCATTTCTACATGTACCGATCGTTCATAGTTAGAATAAAATGCTCTTTATCCTAAGAGATTACATCATTTTGGTTTATCAGCACTGAGGTTCCAGTTTATTTACTCAGAAACGTGATGTTTATCCTCAAAGATTACATCGTTTGTTGAATACCATGAGATTCTTTATCAGTACTGAGGTTTTGGTTTATTTACAGAAAATATTACTTTTTATCCTTGAACAGAGCACAGATAGCCCATTGTGTAGCTTTGTGCTTAATAACAAACAAACAAACAAACGTTTATGATATGTCACGCCATACATCAATGAAGCAACTTGATGGCTTCAACTCTATTTGATACTTGTTTTTTTTAATTTTACTATTTCCAATGATTCGTGGATATTCAAAAACTGTACAATTATAGGAATGTTTCGATACCAGTGGTGGGCAGAGCATAGACATCCTTTGTGTGGCTTTGTGTTTAAAAACAACAAAAATTGTGTTGTTTGTACGTTTTTTGGAAGAACTGAATTTTCTGTTTTATTGTTATTTATGTTCCTGTAATCTTCACTTTAAGATCTTTTTAGTACAACAGCATTCATATTATATTTTACAAGTTCCAGTCTTGTCTGGATTTCTGTTTTATCTTTGGTATACCCCAACATTTCCTTTATTTTATTCATAGGTTGGAATATGGTTCAAAACTTTTGATGGTTCTTAAAACATTAAATAATTGAACTGTAAATCCTGGAATATAAGATTAACTAATAATTTCATATTTACTGTGTTTCTTCATCTAGTATGTAATTCACAACAATAGTTTCCTCCAACTTTGGGATTTAAAAAGTATTAATTTCCCAAAACAGAATGCAAAAATTTATATTCATTCATACGGGAGTCAAATTCTCTAGATAAGAAACAAACAAACAAAAAAAACATAGAGGAAAATAGACCCCGGATTTCAGTTGCAACACTGCATGGTATTGATAACATTGTTGTGTTTTGTAGAAGTTTCGAATGACTATTATTCTGCTGTGATGATATAAAAGGCTGTTTAGTGTAGGTAGTATTAATTAATTTATTTTGTGAAGTAATAATATCTTATGATTGCTTAGTTTTTTTATAATAAGAGAGTTAAAAGCAGACATTTGTTGCGTTTATAATTTATTGATGCTGAAACTATAGAATGTCGCGTGCAATACATTGACGTCAAGAATATAAAGATTTCTAGAGGGCAGGCAGACGATTAAATGATATACATATGAATAGTGTGAGACGAGCGGGAATATCAAACAGACAATAGCAGAAGAGAATAAAGTCATGGCCAAGGAATAGTTTGGCTTGAAGTTAACTGCCATAAAGTGATAGGCCTAACGTTTAATATGTTGGAGTAAGACAAACAGTAGAAAAGGAGAAAAGAATCATAATTTATTCCGTCAAAGCGTTATTATAAAGTAATTGAATCAGCCTGAGTGCACTTTGACAAAAGGAACAGAGGATAGTTTGAAGAAAGAAGACCAAACGATTACTGAAAGAGTAGTATACGACTGCGGTAGCTCGCGCCGCAATTGTAAGTGAACTATACACAGAATACTAGTACGATAGTAATAGGGAATGGTAGTTTGGCCTATTAACTGAAATTCTAAAGCAATTGAATAGGCCTAAGTGGACTTTTGACAAGAATAACTATATAGTGTTTATGATATGTCTATAATATTTATAGTGTAAAGAATTTGTTGTACATACGTTTAACTTGTTCCGAATATATATAAATTATTTTGAAAATATGGGAAGTGTGTGATGCTCATTTATCGTTGAATGTATCGCTAACAAGTCACAGACACTTACCGTAGAAGTATCTTAAGCCTAACAACAACATAATATATAGCTATGCCATGAAGAAGTATAAGTAAAATCCTTTAATTGAAAAATGGCGAACATGACTTAACATAGTTTCTGACATCAATATAGCATTGTTGTGTTTCGTAGAAGTATCGAATGACTATTGCTCCACACAGCATTGTTGTGTTTCGTAAAAAAAGTCGAAATACTTCTTATGTATTACTTATACAATGATAACTCAAATGAAGGTTAAAACAAACAGGGCTTCTTATGTATTACTTATACAATGATAACTCAAACGAAGGTTCACACAAACAAGACTTCTTATGTATTACTTATACAATGATAACTCAAATGAAGGTTCAAACAAACAGGGCTTCTTAGGTATTACTTATACAACGATAACTCAAATGAAGGTCCAAACAAACAGTGCTTGTTATGCATTACTTATACAATGATAACTGAAACGAAGGTTCACACAAACAAGACTTCTTATGTATTACTTATACAATGATAACTCAAATGAAGGTTCAAACAAACAGGGCTTCTTATGTATTACTTATACAACGATAACTCAAATGAAGGTTCAAACAAACAGGGCTTGTTATGCATTACTTATACAATGATAACTCAAATGAAGGTTCAAACAAACAGGGCTTGTTATGCATTACTTATACAATAATAACTCAAACGAAGGTTTAGGCAAACAAAACTTATGTATTACTTATACAATGATAACTCAAATGAAGGTTCAAACAAACAGGGCTTCTTATGTATTACTTATACAACGATAACTCAAATGAAGGTTCATACAAACAAGACTTCTTATGTATTACTTATACAATGATAACTCAAATGAAGGTTCAAACAAAAAGGGCTTGTTATGCATTACTTATACAACGATAACTCAAGTGAAGGTCCACACAAACAGGACT